CCCATTCCTTGGCTTGGCCACATTGAGGAGGGTATTTCTCACCCCTTAAGAGTCTTTCAGGGTTAAATTAAGAGGCCTCGCGGCCTCTGTTAGTTGGAAGAAAAAACCCACCCCAAATCCGAACGGAAAGCGACTCCTAAAAACGGGGTAATTAAATTCACGTGTGAACACTGTGCCTGCAAGAGTGTGTTTCTCATTAGCCCACTTCCCTGGCGGCGAGGGCGCTTCCATCACCTTTTCTGCCTCCATCCTCCCGAACAGTTCCAGTAATCCTCCCCCAAACCCTGGTACATCCCTATCCCGGACGGGAACCCTCAAATGCCGGGCTCTCCCCCAGAGCGAGGCTCCGAAGCCTGGTGGAGACCAACCGGGTGCCCCGTTATCTGCTCTCGCCGGAAGAGGGAAGTGGCCGACACAGCGAACTCCCGATGTGGCTGGTCCTGGTCGCCTTAGCCTCCTCCCCCGTAATATTGTCCTTTTCCTGTAAATTCCTCTACCTTATCCCCATTCCCACCCCGCCGCATCTCGGTGTGTCCCAAATATTGGGCAGTTTGCGGTGCCTCTGAGATTTTCATTAAGAAATATTAACCCTGGAGGAAACCTCGCTCCAAACTAATTGTCTGCCAACAAGCTGGACTCGCCTAGTTGCTTTTTGACTTTTTTGCCCAGAGAAGCCTTGAATTATTATTAGTATTTTTTTAAATAAAAAGGCTGTTTAAATAGCCCTAGCCCCCAAAATAGGACAGTTACCACATAACTAGCAGGCGCTGAGCATTAAGCAGGCCTTACTGATGCCTAAAAGGGGAGAAAACTCAGAAAAACCTAATATGACCCCTCTTCTGCCCAGAGATTTGGGGAGAAAATATTCAGGCTTTTGAGTCAGCTTTTATTTTGGAAATGAAAGGGACTGCATGTGTAAATTTTAAAAATAATAATAAGTGAAGGTAATTACAAACCGCCTCTTTTCGCCTGAGAGTTCTAAAGCCTTGGACTCCAGAACAAATCCAATACTCTGGTCTGGAAAATGGTACGGAGGAGTTGAGGGGAGAGCGGTGCGCTGGCCTTTCAGATAACAGGACCGCAGACAGAGCCATGGAAACAGTTCCAGGGCCCACAGCCAGAGCTGGGAAGGGAAACACAGCTGGGTGGGCATGAGTCTGAAGGCCCGTGTGTGTGTGTGTGTGTGTGTGTGTGTGTGTGTGTGTGTGTGTGTG